ATTGCTTTGATTACGGAGACAACACTGAATGATCTTTGAATAGTTGGTTGAGGGGCTTCAGACCGTATGACAGGGAATTATGAGTTATTTTCTAACTATACACCGTGTTCTGGATCACCCAAAATTAGGTTTGTTGATGGTTCTTTATCCTCAGTTGCAGGGAGAGGGTCTATCGTGGTCTCACCACTTATTACTCTTGAATCAGTTTTACATGTTCCCAATCTTTCATGTAATCTTATTTCAATAAGCAAGCTAACCAAAGACTTAAGTTACGAAGTTAACTTTTCTCCATATATGTGTAAATTTCAGGATTTGTATTCGGGGAAGATGATTGACCGTGCTAAGGGAAGCAATGACTTGTACTATCTTGAAGATTCCTAGGAAGGCAAGACTACTCAGTTTCAAGCTTATGGAAGTAAAAGTGTTTCTAGTTCAAGTTCTGTTCCTACTTCTACTAGGGCATCCTAGCTTTAGTTACTTGAAGAAGTTGTTTCGAGATCTATTCAATAATAAAGATGCAAGTTTGTTCAAATGTGATATTTGTCAGTAGCTAAACACACTCGAAACACTTATCTCACACGACCATATAGCCTATCTAAGCCTTTTTCCATGTTCCAAGGTGATATTTGGGGACCACTTAAGATTAAAAACATAACAGGAGCTCGGTGGTTTATTACTTTTATAGATGATCACACTAGAGTTTGCTGGGTGTTTTTGTTGAAAGAAAAATTAGAAGCAGGAAGTGCGTTTTTAAAACCTTCACAGAATGATTAATACTCAATTCCAAACACAAATACAGATACTCCATACAGATAATGGGAAAGAGTACTTTAATCAAATTTTGGGGAATTATCTTAGTGATTATGGAATTGTACACCAGAGTACGTGTATAGGAACACCCCAACAAAATTGGATTGCTGAAAGGAAAAATAGGCATTTGTTAGAAGTTGCAAGAGCTTTACTCTTTACTAATAATGTGCCTAAGATATTTTGGGGAGAAGCTGTTTTGACGGCATCGTATGTTATCAATAGACTGCCTTCTAGTGTTGTTGATTTTAAAACTCCAATTCAGAAACTTCATCACTCCTATCCTTGCAATAAGTTATTTCAGAATTTTCCTATCAAAGTCTTTGGGTGTACGGTTTTTGTTCATTCTTTAACAGAAACCAAATTATATCCTATATCAATAAAATGTATAATTTTAGGTTATTCACCATCCCAAAAGGGCTATAAATGTTTTTGTCCTAAGACTAAAAGGCTTTTGTTAATATGGATGTGACATTTTTTGAGGATACGCCCTATTTTCATCATCCACTTCAGGGGGAGAATATAAAGGAAGTGAATTTTTTTCCTAATGATGATTTACTTTCCATTTATAGTAGTCCGAGTTCTTTGTTCTGGCCTTGAATCTGCACATATAATCCAACAATTGGTTTCAGATTATATTGTTGAACTAGAAATTTCTCCAGTTGAATTGAGTTCATCACCACAGTCAGATTTTTTTGATGAAGGTAGCCGAGCAAAACAACAACAGCAGAGAAAATCTGAAGTAATTGTATACACCAGAAAGCCAAACAAGACCAAAATGTACGAACCATTGCTACCCCGAACCATAGGCAACAATCAGACTTGAATATAGATCAACACCAACTTCCTATTTCTAGCACTCCCGATCAACATCAGGATAAAGAGGACTTGCCAATTGCCTTGAGAAACCCTATTCACAACTATATGACATTCAGCAATCTGTCATGCTCTTACAGAGACTTTAGCCTGAAGGTGTTAAGAGAAACAGTCCCAACAACAATTGGCTTAAAACAATCACCAAGAGCATGGTTTGATCGCTTTACTAAGTCAAGGGCAAACCGACATGCATTGTTTATCAAGCATACGGGTGGTAATATTTCTATTTTGATAGCATATGTCAATGACATTATTCTTACAGGTGATAATCTAGAAGAACTTGCATATCTTAAGGAGTTTTTATCTAAAGAATTTGAGGTTAAAGACCTAGGACAATTTCGATATTTTTTGGGAATGGAAATAGCAAGAAGTAAGATAGGTATCTTCATATCTCACAGAAAGTATATGATGGAATTAGAAACAGGTGTGCTTGGCTGTAAACCTTGTGAAACTCCATTAAGGGTATATTTGATGGATATTATCGAGGAAAAAATGTATTTTAAATAGTGATATAATGAGAAATATGTGGTTAAAAAGTAAGAAAAAGTTATTGAAGTGATGAAAAATATTATTTTATTGAAGAATATATATTTAAAAATTAATTTTGAAAAAATGTATTTTGAAAGAATTTGTCCCAAACATGTGCTAAATTTCAAATTTGTCTGCCGTCAGTTAGCAGCCATGGTAATTGTAGGAGAATTGCATGATTAGTTCTCAACTGTAAATCTAGTAACAAGTTGGTCCTCAATCTTTGTAAAGTTGCAAGTTTATCATCATCATTTATTATAGTTGCATAATCTATTATCTAGCGCAGAATGCCATCCAAATCTATGTCCATGATTAGAAATTTGAGGTGATAAATATTTTCTTAAGGGTCACAAAGCAATTTAACAAAAAAAATTATGATTTTACTGATTACGCATTGTAATCAAATGTTGGGAACCAATTTATCATTATCGCAACGACTCAACACAATTAAAGAAAAAGCATGTAATATATTTGTAATTAATTTTTAGTCCTGTTTAGTTTAGTGTACCAAATATACACATGCAGGGGCGGAGATATGGGTGGGCTAGCGTGGGCTGTAGCCCACCCTTGCCCACCCTAGCCTAAGCCAAATTTTGTTAAAAATAAAAAAATTGGTTATAGTCCATTTTTTTCTACCGTCCAACCTAGTAGCCCACCGTCCAACCCAGTAGCCCCCCGTACCATTGAATCCTGGCTCCGCCACTGCTAGAATATTGATTTATTTGTGACATACTCGACCTGATATTGCTTTTGCAGTAAGCATGATCAACCAATATATGCACTGTCCATTTCAAGGGCATTTAGATGTGGTTTATAGGATTTTAAAATATTTAAAATCCTCACCTAGGAAAGGTTTTTTTTTTTTTTTTTGGGGAAGAATGTGAAAGAAATGTGGAAGTTTATACAGATGCGGATTGGGCAGGTTCAATTGATGATAGAAAATCCACTTCTGGCTATGGTACATTTGTTTGGGGAAATTTAGTTGCATAGAAGAGTAAAAAACGTTTAGTAGCAAGTAGTGCGGAGGCAGAACTTCGAGCATTAGCCCATGGAAAGTGAAATAATTTGGATAAGGAGACTACTAGAAGAACTGAAGTTGATGTGTATGAAGCCTATGAAGATTCTTTGTGATAATAATGCCGCGATTAGTATTGTCCATAATCTAGTCTATCATGATCGTACCAAGCACGTGGAGAGTGACAACCATTTCATATAGAGAAAATTGATAACGGTGAAGTATGTAGTATGTTCGTGCCATCCAAGGAGTAAATAGCAGATATTTTTACAAAGTGTATAGCAAGACAAGGCTTTGAGAAATGTCCAGACAAGTTGCGGATAATTGATATCTTCACACCAATTTGAGGGGGAGTGTTGAGAGGTTACAATTTTATTGTAATATAGTTATCATAGTTTTAATTTCATCTTCATATGAATTTGAATAAATCTGGTGAGATAAGATAAGCCAGTTGGTTAGTCAGTTAGGAGTTGTTACTTTTATTTATCTAGACTTTATGGTCAAATCAGATGAGTCCTATTTTTTATGGGATCTGATATTGTATTCCCCTCTATTTAATAGAGGTATTCATGTATAAGCCATATAATTTTAGATTTTATCAAATTAAAATCATATACTCGCACAAGTGGTACATAAGATCACCTTTTCCACTATATTTCTCCATGATCGGACGGATGAAGTTGTCCAAAATTGGCTCCTCCTTAATCTCCATGGAAAGTAGTAGATGCTCATCATCATCATCTAGGTGTATGACATTGCGGGTCGATCCTCGTATTCCTCATATAAAAAAGTGTTATACGAGGTGTTGATAAAGCTATCCATCCTCCGATCTTCCAAATGACTATACTTCTTGTCATATGAAATCACTTCTTTCGTAAACCTTTCTTTGGCAGACTTGTTCATGCATCGCCATTTATGTCACCTCTCGGTGCATTATCATGAGCTTTTGACACCTACTGATTGCTACTATCATTGCAAAAAGCACTGTTAGTAGGATCCATCCCATTTTCTCGAGACTCGCCGTTCACAATAGCTTTCGTGTTCTCAACCATTGCCTGCAAAGCTATATTTGTTGTTGTCATAGGCTCTCCTCCATTTCCTGCATGTTTTTAGCCGTGGACATCTTCTTTTGCAAGCAGCGACTTTGTACAAGAGAGATGCCAGCTTGTACTCCTGGAGTTTTCTCTAGTTGCCTTTTAGGATTATTGTTGCTACCTAACAGACAATCGCTGCACTCTCCGACTTTAACCTCTAGTGCGTTCATTTCTTCTAGTGGTTTACTTTGCTCTAGATTCTTGCAGACAACACCAATTTGTTGACGATGAAAATCTGATCAACAAATGTCTCTCACTTAGCTAGGGTATTTGCCAACTAAACTCAATGGTTTTGATGCTTAAACCCAAGCAAGAGTAGAAATTTCAATTTGAAAGGAAGATACTTGAATTGTGCATCACTATGCCAAAAATGAGTTTTAGCAACATTTTATAAATAAACGTTGCAAAAAATTGCCTTTCGCAACAACGTTTATCGAACGTTGCGAAATTATCAACTTTTTGCAACGTTTATTAAACGTTGCGAAAGATCGACTTTTTGCAATGTTTAATAAACGTTGCAAAAAGTTTTATATTTCGCAACATTTTTTAACGTTGCAAAAGATGCTTTTTCGCAATTTTTTTTATTTTTTCTAATCATTTCACTTAAAAAACGTTGCAAAATGTCCCCCGCCCCATAAAAACAAGCCCTAAATATTCCTCCTCCTCGTCTCCGCCTCTCTCTACTCTCCATCAGTAGGTGATTCTCTGTAAACAAATTGGGACTTTCCCGACGTAGATATTGAGGGGAAGCATAACTGCAACTGCAAGAGTGTGGCAAGGAGGAGGAGGATGGCGGAGCTACTGCCCTCGATTAGGAGGAACTGGCCGGCATAAACTCCATAGGGGTGTTCAATCTCGCCACTGGTGGAATGCCACACGGCAACCGCCTTGGAGGCAATGGCGGTTGGGCCCGGCAAGTGACGGTGGTCGCTGCGGAACTTCAAAAAAACGAAGATCAACAGACAAGTGAGAGCACCGATGACCGAGATGTTGAACATGTACTAATTTTTTTAAAGTGCAATTGAGGGTCACTATAAGAATAAGTATTTCATATGTGATTATGTATTTATGAGTTTGGGATTTATGGTTATTGCAACTTTATGTGGAATAGGGGTTCCTTTTTTGAATAGGTGATGACTTTATTTATGTTTGGTGTAGAGATGGAGAAGGGAGGGCCCATTGTTTCGGAATATGTACTTAAGAAACAGAAGACGAGTGAGGAATGGGCATTGGTCAAAAAGCAGGAGCTTGAGTCTGCTAAGAAGAAGAAGGCAGAGCAACGCAAGCTTATCTACAACAAAGCCACGCAAAGGATTATGAGCAATAGGTACATCCGTTTATTACCTTTTGCTGGTCTTTGACGATGTTAATTCTTTACAATCACAAGTTTCTAATTGTGGTGCAAATCCTCATATATAGCAGGAAAATGAGCTAATTCAATTGAAGCGTGAGGCTAGGTTGAAAGGGGGGTTCTATGTCAACCCTGAGCCTAAGCTGCTGTTTCTCTAATCTGAGTGATATTATTGTTTGATCATGAATCATATCATTTTATGTAGTTGACGTTGTGATCTGGTCTTGCTTCGATATTATTTTGATTCACTAGGTATTCAACAATTTGAAATTCGTGTTATAGATAGAGAGTGAAGATATCGCTTGACTAGGTAGCTTGATAGTTAATCACATGAATTTGTACATTCCTGCTGAGCCTTAATGTGAGTTAGAATCCAACCACCGGTTAAATAATGAATGTAGAACCTAAATCTTAATTGTGGGTGCCTATTTTAGGAACATAAATCTTATGTAACATGCCATATGTTGTTGATTGTACTGATGTTACATGCCATATGCAAATATTCTGGACGTCTTTTGCTTAACAAGATGTCAAACATACTTAAAATCTCTAAGTTTACTTACCTATTTTTTATTTTCTCTTATAGTGCCCAATGGAATTATGCAGTATATTAAGACAGTAATTGATGGTTTCCAGATGTACTATGAATTATTCTGATTTTGTACTTATTTATTATCTACTTTTGTTTGCCATTTTACTGACAGTTGGTCGAGAAGGATAACGAAGCTACAATAGCTTTAAAGAAGCCACCAAAAAGAATGCTCTCGGGGTTGATCCACTAAAGGTAGAAGTCAGATTGTTTGACAAACTCTTCATTTTCGAGGTTCAAAATTTTTCCTTGTGATACATTTTCTTTTAGTCTTAGCACACACTCCTTTTTTGCATCGAATATGTGGTTGACACTTTCTGGTTTGTTATTACATACAGAATCTTGCCAAACTTGATGACTGGCTTGGTGATTTGAACCCTGAATCTAAAGTAGTCATATCTGAGGCGTATGTTGTACCTTTACTTAGAGATGCTACGGTTGGAGACAGATTTCAGTTTGAAAGGCTTGGTACATTCCTCTAACTTCCAGCTCTTTTAATGATTCCATTTAACTTTATACAGCTTCTGCCAGTTTTTCTAATGATTATGCTTATTAATTTTTTTTTTCTTTTTGATATTTACCATTGGACGCGTTAAATGTTCTTCTCAAGGAGCCTATGCCTGTCAATCGGTTAAGACCCAAGTAACTTCCTAAACTCGTCTCATAATGTTATTACAGAATATTCTCAAGGAGCCTATTTCCTTGTCATCTTTCTGTAATTTTTTTCTCATCTAATTAAATTTCTTTTTTTTATTGTAAGGTTGAAGTAGAAGCATTAATGATCCAATGTCCAAAGTTGGGCACCGTCATGAGCCAAGTGAAGAAGTTTAAGGTGTCTGTGCTAGTCCTAGGTCACAACAAACCCTCCCCATTATTCAATTGGTGAGTTCTTATTTGGGTTTTTACAATAAATCTATTTTCTAGTTCCTATTTTGTTGATTTCCATAATTATTTATTTTCGTGGGTTATGCAATCTTGGCAGCCTTTGCTTGAAGAGTAGCATGGAGGAATTTGTAGAACACGCATTTGGGGATGATATTTTATGTCTCTACTTCTTCCAGAAATCTAGTTAGTGGAATGATGGATGAAACAATTGTATTGTTTATCTTACTCCTTTTTCGATAGGTTGTATTGTATCACATTCGAATTTTGTATTGATTCAAAAATTTATAATAAAATTATCAATTTTTATGCAATTCCAAAATGGTTCCACAAANAAAATGTGTTCACAAAGTGTTATTTTTAATTTTGTGGGTCAATTACTCAATTACCATAACTGTAAAGAAAAAAAAAGTCTACCACAACGTTGAAAAAACGCTGCAAAAGAGTTTACTGCAACGTTTAAAAAACGCTGAAAAAGAGTTTTTCACAATGTTTAAAAAATGCTGCAAAAGAGTCTACCGCAACGTTTAAAAAACACTGCAAAAGAGTTTTTTGCAACGGTGAATAAACGCTGCAAAAAGTCTTCCCTTAACGGCAACACCGACCTCCGTAACACTTGGAAAACACTGCAAAAGGTCTTTTGCAAAATTTTTTGGCCGTTGCAAAAGCCCTTTTTTAGTGTAGTGCATGCTTTTTTCTTTTGAGATGGGGGTATTTATAGATTTTCCTCCAAACTTTGGGCAATTTAGTCATTTAGAACAAATGATAGATGGCAACCCCTATTAGCTAGCTTGTAACTGCATATGTTAGACTATCACATTTTATTCACTTATGTGTCTTAGTACTGGCTTTTAACCAGCCTGGATAGGGGAAAATGTTTGCCCATTTTGAGTGAGACTTTTACGCTTTTGTTCCCCTTGCATATTTCTTGATTCAACACTTTTCTTAAAAATTTTTTTAGTCTAATAACCTTACTTAGTGTTGAAGATTGTTGGCAAATACTTATATCACCGCGAATTGATTTGGGGCAGAATAACGTCGTGCACAATGAATTGTATAAAATGTTAGTGGTCGAGGCAAGAGTTCGACTCTTTCTTCGTAAGACGATAATGCCCCGCACCGGCACTCGTCTTCCAAGATACAACGACCTCGACTTTTAATAGTAGCACTATAAATTACAAGACCTGGCAACCTACTCACGTTTTGATCTCTCTAAAAATTGGATGACTAAAATGCACGAAAATAATTTTCCGAGGATGGATTGCAAAATATGAATAATACAGGGATGAACGAATAATATCGGAAGAAGAATAAAATCAGAATTGATTTTTTTTTTTTTTTGGAGTGAATGAAAACCGGGGTATGGGGACCTATTTATAGAAGTTGAAAGGTTGTGTCCAAAGGACACAACAACTGAAAAGTTGTGTCTTCAACATATACAAACCGTTTGGACATGCAGTTTAATTGTCAATTGTCAATCGTCCTTCTAGAAAAATTCACGTGTCACGCATATAAAAATTGAAAAAAAATTAATATAAATAAAATATATTATTATTTTAAATAATATAAATCAAATATTATTTGGGAAAATTATGCCCAATACGGTCGAAAAGTTTGAGAATTGATTAATACAATGAAAACTACTTATTACTGCCTATACGTTCTTCATCCCGTAATTCATACGGTAAAATCTCCAAAATCCCCAAAACTCCATTATGCCCCCAACTTAATCATCGGCCACCCACACTGCCGTCTGCAACCACTCCACCACCTGCCTCGCCAATCACCTCTAAAATAACCCATTATTAGATCGACGGCTGCTCATATTTTTGAATGTGACTCTTTCTCAATTTCTAGGTTTTTCTGTGATTTCTAAATGTGTTTCAATTCTAGGTTCTGATTATTACTGCAAAGATAGTCCTTTCAATCTTAGTTGTAGATTATCCAGTTAAGAAAGTGGCTATGTGTCAGATGATGGAGTTTCGATGCTTCTGTTTGATAAATTGGGTGAAACAACTGAGTTTGCGAGGAAGTGGGTGCCATTTTGTCAAAAATAAAGTATTGAGCCTCGAGTTCCAGAGTTCTACTTCTTTGAGAAAATTGACTGCTTAAAAGATAAAGTTCTGCCTACTTTCATGAAGGATAGTAGGGCCATGAAGGTAAATTTGATGAATTTCTTTCTTCTGCTATATTTGGTGAATTTAGTGGAATTAAATTCATTCTTATACAATGTTTATGCATTGCAGAGAGTATACGAAGAGTTCAAAGTAAAAATTAATGCTTCGGTGGATAAAGCACAAACGAGACTAGAAGAAGTTTCAATTTCATCGAAGTTTTTTTAGGTTTTGGTGAGTACTGGAGAAAGGTGGCAAAAACGATTTTGGAGCCTTAGATATTGGAGGGGTAGAAATTGTATAAAATGATATAATTGAAGGTTTTGACTAGTGTATTGTTACTTTTTTTAAGTGATTGTCACCTTTTTTTTAATTTTTGTCAATTTGTTTTAGTGATTGTCAATTTTTTGAATAGTATTTGTCATTTTTTGAATGTGTTTGTATTTGAGTTCGTTTTTCTTCTGTTTTATGTGTATAGTTTTTTATGCTTAGGCTTTGATCTGCTGGTAGTAATAGTGGTGGCAAAAGAGAAAGTGGAAGAATAGAGGTTGTGTCGTCGGTTGAGTTGGTAGATGAAGGTGGTGATAAATTGATTTAAAGATGCTTAATGTTTTGATTATGTTTTATCGGTGAACTGATTTAAAGATGTTTAGGATGAATGGAGAAAGAGAAGAAACGTGGTTGTGTCACTTTTTGTTTTTAATTTCTATACACTTTATTGTACTGATTCTAATATTTTAATTGGTATTTTGTTACTTTTTTTTTTTGAATTTTTTTCACTTTCTTGAAATTTATGTCACTTTTTGAGTGATAAATATCACTTTTTAATAAAAAGTAACACTTAACTTATTAAAAAAGTGGCATTAACTTTTAAAAGTGATATTGTGCCACTTTTTTATAATAATAATAAAAAGTGACACAACGTCAAACATAATTTTATATAGTATTTTAAGAAGATAAAAAAAGTAAAATAATATGTTATATTTTTCTAACATAATCAGCTTGTGGATTTACTTGGACGTGCTGATTATTTTAAGAACGTGATTATTCGTACTGCACAAATGGATGGTGCTATTTTGGTATTTGTCACTTTTTTTGAGTTTGTGTCATTTTTTTGAGTTTGTATCACTTTTTGAGAAATTGTGTCACTTTTTTTTTTTAGTTTTATCACTTTTTTTAAAAAAAAGTGACAATTTTTATTAAAAAGTGACACTATGTCACTTTTTCATTTTACACCATATTTTTTACTTCCTAAAAACCTTTCATATGATTTTTCAAAGCACCCCTAATTTTAAGGATATTTTTGTAAGTACCCCATATTATTTTACTAAAAATTATATATCGGCTTGGTCCAAACCCAAGCCCACGACCTGTACCGAGCTGTGCCGATCGGACAGCGACTATGTGTGCGTGTGGACTTTGGCCCAACCTACTAGCATGTAGGTTCTCTCTCCTTTAAAAACTATTGGTACCCATTAGGGTTCAAACCCAAATCTCAAACTTGAGTAATATAAAGTAGTTTATATTCTTGTAGCTTTCTTATATGGGATTGACACTTTTCTAATTTCCTACCAATTTTTATTCCAATTTATTTCAATTTTAAGTGGTCATCATTTGACCTTAATTTCTCATTCATCCTAAATTGGTTTTGAGAAAATAAATACGTTATATTAATCTACTCATAGAGTAGAACACACTCGATCAAAGAAATATTTTTGTCCAACTAATGAGACCCACTAAAATAATTGATTAAAAAATGGTCAAACCAACTAATAAAACCAATTTTCTTTTTTTCCAACACTTTAGTTATCTTTCTCGCTCTGCCACACTATAACGGTCTTTGGACAAAAATCTAATATGTTAGCAGTCAAACTGATACAAGCTTAAAAGCAGGGGACTCAGGTGCCAATGAAATAAATGCAGGGTATTCAAATGCAGTGTTTACTTATTCTTTGAGTATCGAGTATATAGGCAAATACGGTTAGGCACATCAGATCCAATGAAGGCAGCTTTAGAAAACGAACCTTGGCAATGGTTTTGCCAGGGTGCCACTCTGGCATATGGCTCCGGCATATGCTCCCATAGTTGTTTATATTCGGGTGGAAAACTTTTGTTCTGAATGCAATCTGCGAAATTCATCCAAATGAATAAGAAATGAAAACATCCATTATCAAAAAGACTCTAAGCGGGAATTAAACACTTAATATCAAGAATTACTTGAATACACATATACAACTAAATAATGTTTGTTATTTTGAAACAGAAAGGATCAGAGTAATTGAAATATGGTGGGATGGATAATTAACATATCTGACCCACCTTAGGTGGCTTGAAAGGGTAATCCTGGGGAATATGGATGGCAAGTAGGAAAACTCCGCCGGCATATGGACTGTCTGGAGGACCCATGATTGTAGCTTGCCAATGGGACAAGTCCTCATCAACAGGACCTGAAATTTATAGCGGAAAAGCAAATGAGCAACAACAAAAAAATAAAAATAAAAAATAAATTAAACTTAGGGTGCTTTACAGATATCCCATAATGAAAGGTAAACTGATTGTGAACATATTTAAATAGATCTTCATCGAAAACAAACAAGCATGACTGCAAGTGGCCATATTTTCTTCAAGCCAGTATCTAAATTCGACGGAAACTTTAAATCTAATTTCATTAAATTCAATATTTATGATAAAAATGGACTGCAATTTTAGTTTTTGATTTTAGGCATTGAAACTTTTGGTTTCTTGTCAAAATGTATTACATTATTTATGATGACTTTATACAATTTTACCTTGGTATCGAAACCTATAAGGTTGTTTCCTTGCATTTTATTTCTCAAAATGGACTATGGTAATGAAAAATGCTTTTATGCCACTTCTGATGAAACTTGAGACATTTTTAAAAGCATATTACAAAATATGCATCATTAATTCAAGAATTCATGGTATAGATCATATATAAGAATTTCAAAATATTTAATTTTATATTCTTGGAGAAAAGTGAAACCCTAATTGAATTAAAGAAAACTTGAAAATAGTTACAGCTTCATTGTCCTTGATCTCCGTGCATTAAAATTGGGTTTGAAAGATCTTTCGATGAGCTTTACAATCAATTAAAGAACTCTTAATTCAAACTTAAGACGAGGAAGTTATAGGCTTTCAAACTTTTGTCGAATGGGGGTGTACCTAGGGCTGTCAATGGATTGGATTTTGATCCGAATCAAACGAAATTAATGGGAGATGGATTTAGGGTCTTAGTCCAATAACCCGATCAAGATCTAAATCCGATAATCCGTTAACTAAATGGATCAAATATGGATATAGGTCAATTCGATCCGATAACAATCCGATCCTATTTGTTATAAATAATGGAGTCGGTAAAATATTTTTATGGCATATTATTTGTCACTAAAATAAATAAATGAGAAAATAAATAAATTTAGAATAAAAAATAATCAAATTCAAAACATAAAAAAGTTAAAAAAATTTATAATTATTAAACTTGTTTAAGAATTGGAAAATTTTTAAAAAAAGTTGATTTCAACCAATGTTTTTCTAATTTTAGTTTANTAGTTTTTTTTTAATTTAGTTTACTAATTTAAAGTAAATAAATATCTATATTTTTCTTAATTAAATTTCTTATTGTAATTTATTTTACAACTACAAAAACTAATAATTAATGTGTAACAAATAATTTGATTTGTTAATGGAAATAATGAAATAAAATATTTATATTTAGAATTGAAATTCAATTTTAAATTATCCAACATCGAATATCAATAGAAAAATAGAAGATGGTATCTCTTTTAAAAAGGAATATCATGATGGTAGAAGTCACTATTGGGCTCGCTAGAAAAAATAGGTGGGCCTCAAGTTAGTTCAATTTTTTTTCTAATTTTTATTAATTTCGAATCGGATTATCGATCGGATATCCGATAACATTGCAAATCGGATATGAATTTATCAGTTAAATATCCGTTGGATTGTCGGATCGGATCGGATAAATTTTCTTATCGGATCGGATCAGATTTAGGCAGATCCTATCTATATCCGATCCATTTACAGCCCTAGGTGCACCTAGTTTTAAAAAAATCAAAATCCTTTGTGCGGTGCATGTGGGGACGAGGGGATATTTCACAATTTTAAAAATTATGTTTTCATCCCTATAATATTTTAGATTTTTCTCTGTATAAGTATTATATTTTTAGATGATTGGAATTTTTTTTTTTTTTTTGAATTCAACATTTAAAATAAATTTACAATTACATGAAATTATTATTATTTTTTTACTCAATTAAAATCTGAAAAACTTATATTAAATTTAAAATATATGTTCAAGAATTCTGTTACCTAGTAAAAAATTTTCTAGCTGCTCAAGTACATTGATTATCATGTTTTATATGGTAAGAAATAATTTGAAAGTATTTTAAACTCGTTTCCTATGTCAATGTTTTTAAAATTATATTTAAGTCTAGAAAAATATTATTTTAGCCCTTGTTCGAGTCATATTAAAATTTTCATTCTCATTCTCCTACTTATTTTTAACTACACATTTTTCAATAAAATAATATATTCCATCACATCAATAACTTTTCCTTCTTTTTCAACCACACATTCTCCAATTTTTTTATTTAAATAATACAGTTCTTACATTCTTGAGTGGTGTTGATCTTGATGCGGTTGTACGATCCATTACTACACTTCTTGTTTTTTGTGAAGAGTTCTATGTGCATTCTAAGAGAACATACTAAAAGATTACTGGTATAAAATATGTCGAGTAGCTATGTGCTTCTCGAAATTATGAAATGGATCTGATGGTAACTGTAATGCCCCGAATATTTTTATAGAATAGAATTCAATTTTTATATACTATATTTTAATATTTTGAAAGTTATGGACTAAATGATACATTTATCAAATTATATTTTATTTGAGTCAAATATTTAGATATTGATGGAGTTATCGAAAAGATATGAATATTGGTCTCGTTGGATAGATCGTATTTAATTATGCATTTTAGGCTCAAGAAAAAGTTAATTCGGATAAACGAGACCAAAGTTAT